ACACACACACACACACTCTCTCTCGCTCTCTCTCTCTCTCTCTCTCACTCACTCACTCTCTCTCATAATCACATGGGAGCTGTAGAAGGCTTAACCAAGGCTGGTGATGTTGGAACGACCACCAGGGGGTGCTACAATGCAGTGGCCAGAGCGCCGAGGAATGTTGTCGTCGATTTGAGCCCCTAATAGAATTGAAATAATCATAAAAATATACTTGCTGTAAAATACTGATAAAATTATACATTATTCAAAGGAATTTCTAAATATTATTTTCTTAGGGAATATATTGGAAAAGATAATGTTCTCTATAGTCTGATCCCATCTTACCTGATAGGCTGACATTGGCGGAGGGTGCAGGGCAGGGGCACAGGAGACATTTTCAAAGTGGGGGGAACCAAACTGTAAGCAAAAGCCCACATAGTAAGATCAGTTCTCTTTCATCATCTCGTGTTCGAGATCCACCTATGGGAAGGGCATCCATACCTGACCTCTGCAGAAGCATCCAATTGCACCAAGTCTGGCTTGACAGACAGGAGCGCGTGCCCAATGGTAGGTAAGGGACCGCCCCTTCACTAAGCGCATAAAGTCCCAGCATGTGCTACCTTTCCTCAGTTGACATTCGCTTTTCGCAATCTCTGCACTTATACACAACTCGGTTAGATTACACTGTTCACTTGTGTGTCTTCAGGAGGACATACTGACAGATCAGCCTTCGCCAGATGTGACAGTCATTATTCAGCCAGTTGATCAGTTGTGTTGCATCCTGAGCTGCCCACGCTCTCTCTTGTCTTTAGACTGCCTGCCTATCATCGTTTTCTCGCCTGCTCCCCTTTGCACGGTGGCCCGTCACAGATTTTTCTCAGTTTTTTGCCAGTACATTGCTCTCGAAATCCGCTGCTTATCCTGGGGATAGTATATCATGGGCCTGCCCGGCCGCGTGTGGCACACTTATAGCCTCTAAGGATCTTCACCCATTCTGTGTGGTCTGCCTGGGCCTCAAACACGCCTGGGAGAACCCCGAAAATTGCAGTCATTGCCTTAAGTTGCCTAAAAAGCTCCTGCGACGCCATCTTAAAGTTGCCCCGACCCAGTGCGTTGAGCTCTGCTTTTCCGATTCAGATGGGTATTCTCCGAAGAGCATATCTTCGCGAGCAACCTCCCGTTCTCAGATGAACTGGCCGGTTCCGGCGATGATGACGCGGGCCTTCTTGGGGTCTCAGAGGACGAAGAGGCTATCCCGTCCTCTGGCGTTTCCCAGGCTAACGCCCCCATGGCCTTGCCCCAATCCATCCTCTTGGACGTCTGTGAACAAGCGGGCGCTAGCCTCAACATTGAGTGGCCGGCTCCACAGAGCGCCACCGACCAGGAGAAGGATATTTATGACAGGAAGCTGCTGGGACCCCCTCCCGGCCCGAGGAAACAACCCTTCCCCGTCCATCCAGCAGTTCAGGGAAGGGTACAGTATCGCACGTGTCTCCGATTATAGGGTCTTATGACTTTGGCTGTCCATGTTTGCCTCTGGGCCTTCTGAGAATTAGGGTGTTCATGAAGTGGGTTTTATCTCTTCATCTCAGCCCATTACTTGATCTTATCTGCTCTGTCACAGTGACGCGCTCGTGTACAGCAGCACTGCAGCACTGGAGGAAGGCAGAATTTTACACGGTCACCGTGATTTTGCCAAGTAAGACATGTTCCTGGATCAACATCTTTTGTTGATCCTGGATCAACATTACTGTCCAAAAATATAGACCTAACCCAATCCCTACCCCTAAACCTAACCCTGCCCATAATTCATTCCTAGAATCAGAGGGAAATGATAGGTAAATAACAAGGGTGTAGAAGAATCTGACCCTGATTGTAAGCCTAAAACTGTAATTTCTCGAAAACGTATCCCTCAATTCTGATTGGTTGATTGGAATAATGTTGTACTTGGTGAAATCACGTTCACCAGTTTATACTCAGGGGACCCCCCTGGGGGACATCATGTTGCAGAAATTGGTAATGACAGATGCATCCTTAACAGGACGGCGAGTCACTCAAGAGGGCAGAATTGTGAATGGTGTGTAGGCGAGCTTTGATATCCCCAAAGCAGCCACACATTAAGGCTCCATAACTCCGGGTTCGGGTGCCACACCGAGCCGCCCACTTAAGACAGCAGATCCTTCCTGTTTAGGGGGGATCGGCAATGGCGGCATCACCAGCAGCTCTGTCAGGTCTGGGAACCAAGGCTGGTTCGGCCAGTTCGGGGCCACGAGTATCACCAAAGCCCTCTCCTCTCTGATCTTGCATAACACCAGCGGCAATATCTTGACCCCCCCCCTGGCTGAAGAGATCTGGGTTGTGCCATGGCCTCAGAGCTTTGATGCAGCCACGGGAGACCACGATGCGCAAACGGCCTGAAGTCCACGCCGTCCAAGGGGCTCGAGATTTCAGCCATAACTGCAGTGGGCGCATGTGTAGTAAACCAGCAGCCTCTGAAATTCCTTCAAGTGAACAGAGTTGCCCAATCTGAAATGGTGCACGGAAGACACAATGGCCGCCGAGCGCTTCCGAGAGAGGCGGGCGTGCATCTCCACCGAGTTGAAACACACTTCCTGATGTTATAGACTGATTTGGGGCAAAAATGCTCTTCTGCATGTTGACACATAGCCCTAGGGACTCCAAGTGAAGCGTGTCTATATGGCTGACTAGCATGTCCCGTGACTGAGCTAATATCAGCCAATCATCCAGATAGTTGAGAATGCACATCCTGCTCAGGGGGGAAAGTGCTGCATCTATGCATTTCGAGAAAGTGCGTGGGGCTAAAGCCAGCCCAAACAGAAGAACAGAGCACTGGTACACCGAGCCCTCGAAGGCAAACCTCAGAAAGCGTCTGTGATGCAGTGCTATCTGAATGTGAAAGTACGCGTCCTTTAAATCCACGGACGCAAACCAGTCCCCGGGGCGAATTTGTGCCAGGATCTGTTTCAGCATTATCATCCTGAACGGACCCTTGCAAAGCTCTCTGTTGATAGGCCTGAGATCTAGGATTGGGCGGAGTCCCCCATCTTTCTTGGGCACCACGAAATAGCAGGTGTAAAACCCGCTCTCCAGCTCGCTCAGAGCGACTCGCTCTATCGCTCCTTTTTCGAGCAGGCTGAATAGTTCTTATCTCAGAACTGGGGAATTTCGAGGCAATGTTAGAGACTGCACCACGCCATTGAAATGGAGTGGTCGGCACCTGAATTGAAGGGTATACCCACGCTCTATCACACCGAGTAGCCAGCGCGAGATTCCCGGAATAACTTCCCACGCACTCAGGAACTGACATAGCGGCTTTATCGGCTTGGTCGTTGGATGAGCCGACGAGTGCTGCGCAGCTATAATCGGTGCAGGTGGCAGCTCTGCACCACTCTGAGGCAGGGAGAGCGGCGCTGCATCGACTAAATGAGAAGGGAAAAGCTCTTTTTGTGCGAATGTATGCATTTTTATTGAACACACATTTGAACAATTTTGGAACAGCTTGCGGCACAGGGCCGCTCTTGCTCTCTTCCCTCCTCTCCGGGCTGTCAGGACGATGGGTTGGCAGCTGATGGTGGGATCATCTCTTCCCCGGTTCCCGCAACTTCCTCCGCCCATCCGGCTCCTGGCAGCACCAGTCACGTTAGCGGCTGCGGGCCTGGTGTCCCTCCTCTTCGCTGAATCTTGCAAAGTCCGTTGCCACGCACAGATCATTAATGGCATCCGGTGTGAGGGCTCCGCCCTCCGCCATCTGCAGGAGCTTCGCCTGAAACACCTGCAGCACTGCCATGGTGTGCAGCGCTGATGCCGCCTCACCATCCGCTGCTTAGGCCTTGTTAGCGAAGTTGTGCGGTGGTCCTGCATGGCTTAGACGGGAGACTGATGTCCGAGCCCAGGGTCAGGGTAGTCACCTCTGTAGAAACCTCTGCGAGGTCTCGTGAAAGCTCGAAAGAGAACCACGTGTGAGCGGAGAGATTCGCACTTGCGCATCATATTAATGTACATTCGCCCTACAACCGTGCACTCTCGACATTTGTCAGGTAAATAATGCCATAATTTTCCCTTATCAAAAGTGCGGGGGTCGATTGCTGTCTTTTCAAAACTGTGGGGGTCATGACCCCCCTGTCCCCCGTGTCAATGGCCCGCCTGCATTTGACATACCAGCACAAAAAAAGAGATCAACAGCATGTCCCTGAAAAGTTTGAACACAGTGCCACCTAGTGTTCCAGAGATATAATGATTTTTGCAAAATCGCCTATAACATTTGAAAACATTATCCAAATTTAGTTTTCTCTGTCAATGCATTCCGTGGTTAATGCCAATTCTGACAATGTCTAATTTTTAATTTTCCATCATTTTATTTGTCCGTCATTTTTAAGTGGTGCAAAAGTTGCTTCTGGACTAGTGCTTGGCCCTGCTGCTAGCAGTAACAAACAAACAAACTAATTAATCAATCAATCAATTATATTTGAGTACAATTACAAGACTGAAGGTTGCCCACAAAATCATTTTCACTGCATATTCATTACATTTTAATCCACATTAAAAGCAGTAACAAATAAAACAAGCACTGTCACAATAATATTAATCTACTTTTAGTGAAGAAACTTATGTAGAAATGAAAATTTCCTTTAATTCAATAGGCCTACCATTTATATGCTCTAACATTGCATGTGAGCACAGTACAGCCTACAATCAAGTTTAAATTAGCCCTAGTCTGCTAGGACACTTTTGAGAGAAACTGATCCATTAATAATTCACTTAGAACTAATTGGTTAAACATAATTGCAAACATGTCTCAAAAAATTCAATTAATTAAAATTTCATCAATGTTTGACAATTTCTGCAGTTAAATGTGTGCATATGTTTAAGTGTGATGTAAGGGATCAAATACTTTTGATGACAATTGTAAATTTTCTCTGGAAATTACTGAAACTGAATTTCATTTTTTATGTTATTGCTTATTTAAAATAGCTATAGATATAATCATTTTCCCTTGTAGTCCCCACTGTAAATCCCTAATACAAATGATCACCCCAGCACATAATATGTTATCATACTGTACGTGTATGCAAAACGTGCAGCATTATTTATACACATTATAGGTAAATGAGCTTCCTGAGGGTGGACTCGACCAGGGCAACCACTACAGGAGGATGTCTGTTGTGCATCGCTTGGAACTTCTTCTTGACCTGTGGAAATTATTGTGGAAATTAGTATTTATTTAATTAACATGAACTTTTTATAAATAGTGATAGGCTTACACTATAACAGCACTTTTAAAATGACATAATTGTCATTACACTGTTTGAACACTATGAAGTACAAAATGCAATATACATGTAAAACACTTAATAAATAAATAAAATAAATATGGAAAATTCCTTTATATTAATTCCATTAATATACATAGGTTTTAGCGATTTACAAATTTGTCATTTGTAGAGCACATTTATACAAAGGTTTTGTATAAATAAGAGATAAGAGAATGTCATAGTCATAGGACATTATTGCACCTCCAAAAATAAGTCGTCAAGATGATTCCCTCTGTTGCGTGGCCACTCCTTCTGGAATACCTCCTGAATGGACAAATGTAAAAACCCCCCTTTATCTGTGCCGAAGGTTGCATAGCCTGTAAACAACATTTTTTCCAAGAAATTGGTGTCATCCGTCCCCAAATACATATGATTTGGTTAATCACAGTAGTGATAGAGTTGAGGATTAAGTGGTATAGCTACCTAGCATTGCAGGATAGACGGTAAACATATCATTAATGACAGGAGGAGCATAGTTAGTCCTGTACCGCAAAATTTTCATATTAGTATCCATTTGCTGGGGAGAGTAACGGTGTACTCCTTCGTCTTCAACATCTGAAAGGGATACACGGCCAGCTGATGTCAATGAAATGTGACATAAATGTGATATAATATAAGAAGTGATATAGCCTAATATTACTATAAATTATTTGGATCACCATGATTTATTTATTTACTTTATTTAATATATAACTTGAAGTGTAGCATGTGAAAACTACACCATATAAATTATATTCTTTCTAAATTGTTTCTTTTACCTCCTCGGCAAGCATCCAGAATGAAGATCTTTGGTATTCCTTTGAGCCTGGGGCAGTTGTCGTCACTAAAAGGCTCAATGATTTCACTCACTTTAATTCGATTGGCATCTACACCTGCTAATTCATCCACACTTCCGTGACAGGAGACAGACACCATTATGCAGCTGATGTGTTGCTGATCTCTCATTATGTTATTTCGGAATCGTTGAATATTTTCTCTCATTTGCTTTTAAAACATAAAAGATTGTAAAATAATCACAAAATAATGAGCCATTCAAAGATTTTGATGTTGACTATGATTAGCAAGCTTTATTGCAATTGCATTCATGATATCTTAAAGGACAAAATGAGCAGACCATTGCTGATGCATTTGGTATTATGTTGGTACCATATCCTCCAAATCCAAATTGCGAGAAAAAGCATCTCATGATCTGCATGTCACTTTCACCTCCTTGCTTAGCTGTCATGGCACATAGCATCAGTGCCTTCTTAGCGCCACTCATGTCATAAGTTGTAGACCTCTACACCAATGCAATACAAAACAATAAATGTTTAGTCATGTTTAGGTAACATTATAAATGTTACCAAGCTTAGCTGGTCATTAATTGTTGATTTCTTCATTAACTATTTTTCTAACTTTCTTAACAGCACTTTTAAAGTTACATTTGTGTGTGAGAAAAAAAGTTTCTTCTCATCACCACTTAAATCTCAATGAGAAGCGTATTTTGGAACTTTGGATGTGTGGAGAAAGTATTCAATTTATTTAATATAGCCTATAATTTAATTAATTTATTTATTTAATATAGTTTCATATTTGAAGTGAAGTAGCATATGATGTGAAATTTCCCATTTTTTAGTTTGGTATAGGCCTAGCCTAAAGTATATGAAGTAAAGATGCAGGGGTTTCCTCTTACAAAAGCAAAGCATTATTAAGATAGGTATTCTATAGCCTATATATTGTTACCATTGTTCTGTGCGCTGTAGCTGTACCTTGTAAAATTTTGGTATCACATCATGTACTTTCTTTCATGTTCTCCGAAAACTTAATAACGAAAACAAAATAGTTATACCTGTCTACTTAGAGTGAAATAGAAAGAAAATGTAAACATAGCCTACCTGGCGATAGCTGCTGGCCATCTTAGTATTGTGTCGTATTTTTCCAAGGGTTCGGGCTTAGTAATAGCCTTTTAACGCTTGCCAGACAATTATCTTTCTCTTAGAGGTGTTACGTATGTCATCGCGTCTCCAATGCTTATTTCGCGTACTCAGTTTCCAATGAAGCCCAGTAGGCTACGCTTTTATTGATTTCACAACATCACGTGGGCGATGACAACTGGCAAGCTAAGCCTCAGTTTCTGTTCAATCACTTTCCGCGTTTAGCTTTGCGTGTCGGAACTGTTAAAAAATAAATAAATAAATAAACTCACACACACACACACACACACACACACACACATATATATATATATATAATATACTGCCTTGTCCAAATACCCACACTTGCAGTCTTTATACTTGACCACTTGACTACTTATGACGTATTTCCTGTATTTGGCCCAAGTGTTCAAGTGAGCATGAAGACCACAAGTGTGTGTCGAACTTTTCATTACCTGATGGGACACACTTATAGTGTTGTAAAAATGCAAGTGTTTACATAGCTTTATTTTAATTTTAATTTGATATACTTTGCATTTTAAAATCAACTTCTAAATGTCTGTTCAGTAGTCCTAAACCCTATAGATCAGTGTTTCCCAACCTTTTTTTAGTCGCGGCACCCTTTGGAAATTTTAACAAACTTGTGGCACCCTACAAAATTAATTTTGTCACAATATTTGAATTTCTTACTTCGATGTGATAATTTGAAAAGTATAGATATTTGGTACAACAGGGAAGAATATAATGTCATACAGATATTTTTAATATTATTAAAAAATGTTGTCCATCAATGGTGGCAATCAGTAGGCTAATTTCTAATGAAGAGACCAATTTTTATGACAGATTTTAATGTATGCTTTTATACATATGTAAACATTATTTAATTACCATTATAACTAGCTATCTCACAAATTTTTGCTCACTCAGTGTTTTTTAAATTTTACAGTGGGGTAATTTTGGTGCAGTAGCACGAGATAGCTTGATTTCAAACTTTGAATTGAATAAAAAATGACAAGTAAGCAGTCAGTAATAAAATAAGAACAAATAAAGAAATTAATAATGACAGCACAAATAAAAAATTATGACAGGTCTTCAAATTAAATAAATAGCTTTTTAGTTTTTCAGGTAGGTCTAACAGTAGGTTTTTTTTTAATCAATTATCCAAATAATGTTTAGTCCTAGAAAGCTATTATTATCAGAACACGCGAGCATAACATAACGGTTAGCAGATCAATGAATGAGAGGGCAGTGTTACCAGAGTTGCCCATATACCACACCTTGTTACAACACAGTAGGGCTATTGCAGACAGAAACAATACTGTACTACATCCATGTTTCCTGTCGGCTCAATTTTTGAGTGGACTTTGCTGTTCCAATTGGCATGAACGGTATATGAGTGGAGTGACTGAGCGGAGCGCACACACGCATTGAGCGGGATAATACGCAGAGCGTCACACCACGTGAAAGTGAAACCTGAGCGGTGAACTACTTTTCGGTGCATCTCTAATTATTGGCTACATCAGAAATGGATATTATATAATA